CTGCATGGACTGCTGCGCGCAGTTCCTGGTGTCTGGGAAGGAGGTGCAGGCGCACCCGCGCGCGCTGTACGAGACGCTCTTGGCCGGCGTGCTGAGCAAGAATATCACTGGCCTCGAGATGGAGATATTTTGGAGGTTGCTCTTCGTGGGCCCCGAGGAGGCGACCCCGCTGGAGTCCCTCGACGCGCCCGCCGCCGCCGGCCACCACCACAGGAGCCCCCACAGGCCGGGTGCCCGGAGGGGCCACAGGCGCAGCAGCTGATGCGGCCCGCCGCCGGCGCCGCGGCCCGGCGCCGCGCCGTCGCGGGGCCGCAGAGCGCCGAAGGAGCCGCGGCCGCCGCAACTGTTCTCCTCGCCGCGCGCGCTCCACGGCCCGCAGATCGCAGGAGCGCCCAAGAGCGCGCTCCAGGAGTGGCCCGAGAGGGAAGGCCCCGAGGCGGCATTCTTTGTGGAGCCTCCGCTGCCGAAGTAATAGCCTCATCGTTATGCCGAGTCGATCTCGGCGGCGGATTGGGTGACGTTTTTAATCGCTTCGCGATCGGTCCATTCCATTCCATTCCTCCTCCTCCTCCTCCTCCTCCCCCTCCTCGATCGTCCCAGGGCTGAACATCCCACACCGTGTAGGAGTCAGAGGGCAAAAAGCAGCACACACCTCCGTAGGGGCTTCGCCCCCTGCCGCCCGCCGCCTTCCCCTATCATCAGAATGGGGCATGCGGGAGCCGTGTTAGGATGGTTGCGCGCCGTCATGAAACGGGCTCGAAAGCCCCATGCTCGGGCCAGGCGAAAGGGGGGGATTGGGAAAGGGGGGGGTACGAAATTTGCTGCATGCAGCTGGTTTCGGCCTCACCGAGGGGCCCGTTCCTCGATACATAGCCGCCTCCGGCGCCGGGAGGCGCCGGGAAAATCAGCTACGTGAGCTGATTCTCAAACCCCCCCTTTGCTATCCCCCCCTTTCGCCCGACCCGACATGCGAGGGCGATGTGTCATCGACCGCTTGGGATCCAGCCGGTGTTTCTGAGCTCTGTGTTTTTGGTTTGGAGCTTTCACTCGTGCTGTGTACAGTCGGGGCGCTGAAGAAGGAACCCTTTTCGTTGGGGAGGGGCTCGGTGTCCCTTGATCGTTTTACAGTTTGCTGGAAACTGGTACCAACACCAAGACAGAGGGCTGCCTCCACAGGGGGAAGATGATCCTAGATGTTCGGTGTTGGTGGTAATAGTTCGGCCACCTTGGAAGCCAGAATTTTACCACCATCACCGAGATCGGGATCTTCTTCCCCCGGTGGAGGCACACCGCCGAAATTGGTGTTGGTGTCAATCTCTAGGCCTGCGATAGGGATCGTGGCCTCGGGAGTGCGCGCACGGCGCACGTCACTGCAGATCGCGGCCTTGACGCCAAGACTGGTAATTCATGTAAGGGGTCGCGGCCTGGGGGACGCGACTATGGTTTAGTACCGTGGGCGTCCCCCCCACATACTGCTACTAGTGGTGCGCCTTCCCCCCGGGGGGCGGCGCGCGCACCGAGAGATCTCCCAGCACCTGCGTCGCGGCGGGGGCGCTTTCCGGCGACACCGCTCGGGAAGCAATGCACTGCAGGGTGGGACCACAGTGTTTTTTTTATAAAAAAAAGGTTGGAACAAACAGCACTGCGTGTTCGGGTCGGGCGCGCGCCGCCGAGGACGGCGCATACCGTTCCAGCATGCATCTGCGCGTCCCACACCAGAGAGCGTGGTCTCGGGGACGCGAAGAGCACGCGATTCACGAGACGTCGTAGCCTCGGGGACGCGGCGGGCTGGATTTTTTTATGCGGGGCCGTGGCTTCGGCTGACGCGAACGTCGGACAGTTTTTACTAGGGGATCGTGGTTTCGGGAGCGCGAACAGTGTAGAAGTCATACGGGATCGTGGCCTCAGGCACGCGAGCAGTCTTGATTTACGACAGGTCGTGGCTTCTGGGGCGCGAATCTAGTCTTGTTTGCAAGGGATCGTGGACGCGGGGACGTGAATATGGTGTAATGTACAAGAGATCGTGGTCTCGGGCGCTCATATAGTTTAGTTTGCGATGGACCGTGGTGTCTGGGACGCGAACATTGTATAATGTAAAAGGGATCGTGGCACCGGGGACATGAATATTGTGAGATTTACCGTGGCATCATTGACGCGAATTTGGCGAAATCTAAAAGGGATCGTGGATGCGGGGACGTGAACGTGGTGTCATGCAAGGGATCGTAGCCTCGGGGGCGCGAGTATGGTGTAATTTGCAAGGGCTCGTGGCCTCGTGCACGCGAAGACTGTATCAATTTGGAGTGATCGTGGCCTCGGGGAGCGAATAGGGCGTGACCTCGCCAACGCGAACATAGCGTAATCTACAAGTAATTCACAAGTGATCGTGGGTTCGGGGGTGCGAGCATGGTGTAATCTATTAGGGATCGTCGCCTGGGGGACGCAAATGTTGTGTAATTTGTAAAGGATCGTAGCCTCGGACACGCGAAGACTGTGTCATTTACCAGGGATCGTGGCCTCGGGGGCGCAACCATTGAAGAACTTACACAGGATCATTGCCTCGGGGGCGCGAATGTATATATTTTCTCGTGTCATACGGCCTCGCAGGAACTAGGCAACGCGATTTAGGCGTGGCAAGAAAGCTTGTTTGGTGCTCCACCCCCTCCATCCTGTAGTGTCGGGTCCTCGTATTGAAGCGCTCCGCGTCACCTCCTCCTCACTTCTCCTCCCCCTCCTTCCTCCTCCAATCCTCCCGCCCCCCCCCTCTCCTCCCATCCCTGCTTCTGATTTCCGCAAGTCTTCACCGTTCATCGTCATCATGGTCGTCATCACGATCGCCGTCGCCATCATCCGCATCATCGCCACCATCAAGGTCAGCATCGTGCCTCTGCTCTCCGCAGGCCCACCGTTTCGGCACACCCCTCACACGTTTCGTGGCCCCATGGGGAGCTACACCGAAGGCCCCAGTGGCAGCGCCTTCATGGCGCCTCCGCACCCATTTCAGCACACCCCTCACACGTTTCGGGGCCCCGTGGGGAGCTCCACCGAAGACCCCAGTGGCTGCGCTCGCATGGCGCCACCGCACCCATTTCGCCACACGCCTCACACGTTTCGTGGCCCCATGCGGAGTTGCACCGAAGGCCCCAGTGGCAGCGCCTTCATGGCGCCTCCGCACCCATGTCAGCACACCCCTCACACATTTCGGGGCCCCGTAGGGAGCTCCACCGAAGACCCCAGTGGCTGCGCTCGCATGGCGCCACCGCACCAATTTCGGCACACCCCTCACACGCTTCGTGGCCCCATAGGGAGCTGCACCGAAGGCCCCAGCGGCTGCGTTCGCATGGCGCCACCGCACCAAATCCCGCACACCCCTCTTACGTGTCGTGGCCCCATAGGGAGCTGCACCGAAGGCCCCAGTCGCTGCGCTCGCATGGCGTCACCGCATCCATGTCGGCGCACCCCTCACACGCTTCTGGTTTCATAGGGAGCTCCACCGAAGGTCCCAGTGGCTGCGATCGCACGGCGCCACCGCACCCATTCCGACACGCACCTAACACGCTTCGGGGCCCCAAAGGGAGCTCCACCGAAGGCACCAGTGGTTGCGGTCGCATGGCGCCACCGCACCCACTTCGGCATACCTCTCACACGCTTCGTGGCCCCATCTGGAGATGCACCGAAGATCCCAGTCGCTGCGCTCGCATGGCGCCACCGCACGCATTTCGGCACACCCCTCGCACGCGTCATTGCCCCATAGGGAGCTGCGGCTGCGCTCGCATGGCGCCACCGCACCCATTTCGACACGCCCCTCATACGTGTTTGGCCTCATAGGAGCTCCACCGAAGGCGCCAGTGGCTGCGCTCGCATGGCGCCACCGCACTCATTACACGCTTCGTGGCCCCATAGGGAACACCACCGAATGCCCCAGTCGCTGCGCTCGCATGGCGCCACCGCACCCATCTTGGCACACCCCGCAGACGGTTCTGGCCCCTCAGGGAGCTCCACCGAAGGCGCCAGGTGTTGCGCTCGCATGCCGCCTCCGCACGCACTCCGGCACACCCCTCACACGTTTCGTGGCCCCTAAGGGAGCTACACCGAAGGCCCCAGTGTCTGCGCTCGCATGGCGCCACCGCACCCATTTCGGCACACTCCTCACACGTTTCGCGGCCTCACCAGGAGCACCACCGAAGGCCCCAGTCGCTGCGCTCGCGTGGCGCCACCGCACGCATTTCGGCATACCCATCACACGTTTCGTGGCCCCATAGGGAGCTCCACCGAAGGCCAGTGGCTGCGCTCGCATACCACCACCGCGCACACCCCATAGTGGGTTCCGCGTAAGGCTCCAGTGGCAGCACCCACATGGCGGCCCCGCCCCACATCGGCACACCCTTTGCATGCTTTGAGGCCCCATGAGGAGATCCCCCGAAGGCGATGCCCGCAACGACGGCACTCACAACTGCATATGGCAGGGCCCTTCGCCCGGAGAATTCAATACTGTTGTTGATGATACTCTGAGCATTTTTTTAGTTTCTTCCAGAATCCGCCTGCAGGAGGCATGCCCGACCTAAAACTAAGCGCGAAAGCCCTCCCTCCCTCCCTCCCCTTCATTCCCCTTGCCCCCCATCCCTCAGCTTCCCCACGTTCCGCGTCGCCGGGTCGGCCCGGGTCTTGTGCTGCTGGCCTTCGCTTCTCCTCTTCTTGCACTGGCACGTCGACGCCCCTGGCGCATTGGCGGGCGCGCCGCTGAGCGAAGATCCCCTTCCCGTCCCTCCTCTCGGCCACCTGCTCCGGCTGTCGCCGGGACCGCCCTGGCGATCTCGTTGCTTCTTTGCTCCCGGTCGTCGTCTTCGACATCGTCGCTCTCGTCGTCGTCGACATCGTCGTCGTCGTCGTCGTCGTTGTCGCTCCCATCGTCATAGTTGTCGTCGTCGTTGTCGTCGTCGTCGTTCGTCGTCGTCGTCGTCGTTTTTTTCCTCCGCCCGCCTTCGCCTCCTCCGGGCCTCCAGTGGCCGGCATCGAGACGCCGGCGCGGGTCGTGGGGCTGCTGCCTTTCCAGGACTGCCTCCTGGCCGTCCTGGCCAACGGCGTGGTCAAGGTCTGGGGGGCCCACTGAAGCCCGCTCCGCCGCCCCGCCCTCCACCTCGTTATCCTGACCCCACTCCTCGTTCGTTCGCTCGCTCTCCCGCCCACCACCACCTCCTCCACAATCAGCAAGACGCCCCAAGCAGGCAAACCGTTCACTGGGCGGGGGAAGATTCGAGGCACGGCAAAAGTGCGACATCGAGAAAAAAATCAGAAGCAGGAGTTTGAGTTACCAGAAAATTTGGACGCATGATAACCGTGGCCATTTTGGCTCAAGCCGCGTGGCTCTTTTGCCTGCAGTGCAGGGAACGCGTCCGCCTTCACCAACCTGCAGCTGATCGCCCCACCGCCGCCGCTCTTGCAGGGGCCGCCATGCTGTTCTTCTCGATGGCCGGGATGGCCTGCGGCCTTCTGCTCGGCGTTTACCACGGCGATAAGCTCAAGGTGAAAGACTGCCTCGACTCGGTGTTCTTCCACTCCCATCGGGTCTACCACGAGAAGGTCCTGAAGGAGCCAGCACAATAAGGACCGCGAGCGCTGGCAGTTCGCAGGCGCCCGCAGTGATCGCCGCCCCGGGGGCCGCCGCGGCCCAGGGAGCAGGAGGAGGAGGAGGAGGAGGAGGAGGAGGAGGAGGAGGAGAGGGAGGGGGAGGAGGAGGAGGAGGAGCTAGGAGGAGGAGGAGGAGGAGGAGGAGGAGGAGGAGGAGGAGGAGGAGGAGGAGGAGGTGTGGGCTGTGGTTTCGTTGGGGGGCGGGGAGGAGGACGGCGGACGCTTGCCGCGCACGCGTGGGCCGGCTGCTGCGATCCCGCGAGGCACTTTTTACAGAAGCAGCAGCCGGGGCACTGGCCTCGAGGCAGCACCCCATGAGCCTCTCGCAGTGGGAGAGGCCGACCGCGGAGCCTGCCCGCGGTGCCTGTCGCGAACTTTTTTTTTCCTCGCGCGCCGGGTGGGGCCTCGGCCGGAAGGCTGGGGTCCTCGGGGAGCGCGCCCTGCAGAACAAGAGCGGAAGTATGATAACGTATGGAGTAAATTGGGAAAACGTGCGGGGGGAATTGAAGCACGACAATCTATATATGAATTTATATACAGGTATACATATATATATATATACACCGACATATATATATATATATATATATAAAGTGCGTGTGTGTGTGTGCTCGTGCTTTTCCCGACCATCCTGTACGTGGTGTCGGGTTATCGGTTTGAAGAGACAGCGTCCCGCGCCTCCTCTCCTCTCCTACCTCTTCCTCCCTCCTCCCGTCCCTGCCTCTGCCCTCCGAATGCCAAGCTGTTCGGCACACCCCTCACACACTTCGTGGGCTCAGAGGGAGCTCCACCGAAGTCCCCAATGGCAAAGTCCCCATGCGATTCCCCGCCCATTTTCGGCGCACACACACATACCTCACACGTTTCGCGGCCCCACAGGGAGCTCCACCGAAGGCCCCAGTGGCAAAGTCCACATGCGCTTCCCCGCCCACTTTGGCACACCCCTCACACGTTTCTGGTCCCATAGGGAGCTCCACCAAAGGTTTTAGTGGTGAAGTTCGCATGCGGCTCCCCGCTTATGTCGACACCCCTTACACGTTTCGCGGCCCCGTAAGGAGCCCCACCGAAGGTCCAAGTGGCAGGGTCCGCGTGCGTTTCCCCACCAAGTTGGGCACACCCTTCACACGCTTCGTCACCCCATAGGGAGCTCCACCAAAGGTTTTGTGGTAGAGTCCGCATGCGGCTCCCCGTCTATGTCGGCACACCCCTGACACGTTTCGTGGCCCACCGAAAGCCCCAGTAGCAAAGTCCGCATGCGTCCCGCACACCCATTTCGGCACACCCCTCGCACGCTTCCTCACCCCATAGGAAGCTCCACCGAAGTCCCCAGTGGCAAAGTCCCCATGCGAATCCCCGCCCTTTTCGGCACACTCCTCACACGTTTCGCGGCCCCACAAGGAGCACCACTGAAGGCCCCAGTTGCAAAGTCCACATGCGTTTCCCCCCCCTTTCGGCACGCCATTCACGCGTTTCGTGGCCCCACAGGGAGCTCCACCGGAGGCCCCAGTGGCACGGTCCACCTGCGGTCCCCCGCCCACTTCCGCACACCCTTCACAGGTTTCGTGGCCCCACAGGGAGCCCACCGAAGGCCCCAGTGGCAGAGCCACATGCGTTTCCCCGCTCATTTCGGCACAACCCTCGCACTTTTCGCGGCCCCGGAGGGAGCTCCACCGAAGCCTCCAGTAGCAAAGTCCACATGGCGTTCCCCGCCTATCTGTGCGCGCCCTGACTTGTTTCGCGGCCCCACAGGAAGCTCCACCGAAGGCCCCAGTGGCACGGTCCACATGCCGTTCCCTGCCATGCCGGCACATCCCTCACACGTTCCGTGGCCCCATCATAGGTTCCACACCCCTCACGCGCTTCGTGCATGCCCCAGTGGCAAAGTCCACATGCGGTTCCCCCCTTCATGTCGGCACACCCCTCGCAAGTCCGTGGCCCCACAGGGAGCTCCACCGAAGGCCCCAATTGTGTTGCAGGGAGCTCCACCGCAGGCCCCAGTGGCCAAGTTCACATGCGCTTCCCCGCCCATGCACACCTCTCACACGCTTCGCGGCCCCACAAGGAACCCACCGCAGGCCTCAGTGGCAGAGTCCACTTGCGGGTTCCTGGCCCATTTCGGCACGCTCCACCGCAGGCCCCTGTGGCAGAGTGCATGGGGTTCCCCGCTCATTTGGGCACACCCCTCACACGTTTCCCTGCCCCACAGGGAGCTCCACCGAAGGCCCCACTGGAAAAGTCCACATGCGTTTCCCCGCCCATGTCGGCACACCCCTCACACGTTTCATGGCCCCACAGTGAGCTCCACCGAAAGCGATGCCCACAACGCGGTCTTCACGAATGCATGTTGTTGGATCCTTCGCCCAGATATCTTGATTTTGAATTTCAAAATTCGACTCGCAGGAAACAGTTTTTCCCAACCATTCTGTAGTGTTGGGGTTTCGTTTGGAAGAGACAGCGCCCCGCGTCTTTCCTCCTCCCGCTGCCCCCTCCTCCCCCCCTCCTCCTCCCATCCCATGCCTCGTTTTGCCCTCCGTCTGTCACTGTTTGCGGCACACCCCCGACACGCCTCGTGAGCCCAGAGGGAGCTCCACCGAAGGCCCCGGTGGCAGCGCCCGCAGGCAGTTTCGCCCCCATTTCGGAGGACACCTCGCTCGCTTCGCGGCCCCAAAGGGAGCCCCACGAAGGCCCCCGTGGCAGCGCCCGCATGCAGCCACCGCCCCCCTTTCGGAGGACGCCTCGCTCGCTCCGTGGCCCCATATGGGGCGCCCATCCGAAGGCCCCCCCCCGCGCATGGCAGAGGCGCAGGGCGGCGCCTGCAGAGAAAGATCGATATCGCGCCCCGCGCGGGGAGGAGGGAGGAGGGAGGAGGGAGGAGGGAGGAGGAGGAGGAGAGGGAGGAGGAGGAGGAGGAGGAGGAGGAGGAGGAGGAGGAGGAGGAGGAGGAGCAGTTCACAGTTCGCCGCTGCTTCGGGGAAGCGCCGGCGCGGTGCGCGCGCGGGGAACGCTGCGCAATGCAGTTCGCGAGGAGACATCGCCCCCGCGGCGCGCGGGGTAGCAGCAACAACAACAACAGCAGCAACAACAACAACAGCAACAACAAGAACAGCAACAACAGCAGCAACAACAACAACAACATTCATGTTAAGACTGTTCGCCCCTATCTGCTCGAGTGTCCACTAACGCCAATTTCCCAAGCCCTCGATACCCGCCCTCTTCGTCTTCGATCGAACCCCTTTTGGGAGGTAGACCTTTCTTCCCTGCAGGCCGGGCCCCGGCAAGCGGCGGGGCGGCCGCGGACCGTCGGCCTGGCCAGCGGCAGCGCTGATCGGCGGGGCGGCCGCGGACCGTCGACCCGACCCCAAGAGGGACGGACAGGGGACCGACCATGACGACGACGACGACGACGATGACGACGTCGACGACGTCGACGGCGACGGCGACGACGACGGCGACAGCGACGACGACGACGACGAGCGAAAGCGAGAGCGAAAGAGAACGACAGCAGGGCCACAAGGACACGAAGTAGGCAACGAAGGGCAACAGCGGGGACACGAAATGAATGCGCATGGGGCCACGAAGAGCGCGAAGGAGCGGGGGCCACGAAGGGCAGATAATGCGGGGCCGCAGAAAGGCAACGATGGGGCCACTGAGGGTAGCAACTGGGCCACGTAGGACAGAGGCATATGGGGCCACCACGGGCGCGAACGAGCGGGGGCCACGAAGGGCATACATCTATGGGGCCACGAAGCGGTGCAACGGGGCCACGAAGGGCAGCGAGGGGGCCACGAAGGGCTGCAACGGGGCCACGAAGGGTTGCGACGGGGCCACGAAGGGCAGCGAGGGGGCCACGAAGGGCTGCAACGGGGCCACGAAACAAAGCGAGGTGGCCACGAAGGACTGCAACGGGGCCACGAAGGGCAGCGAGGAGGCCACGAGGGGCTGCAACGGGGCCACGAAGGGTTGCGACGGGGCCACGAAGGGCAGCGAGGGGGCCACGAAACAAAGCGAGGGGGGCACGAAGGGCTGCAACGGGGCCACGAAGGGCAGCGAGATCATTCCTATGTAATCTGTGAGGGAGTCCGAAACGTGAGCGCGACTCCTGGGTGCCTGGATGTCGGGAGCGCGGCGCTTGAGTAAATTGCAAGAAATTCCAACGCAAGGGCGCTATTCTTCAGTAAATTGCAAGCAACTCTCCAGCGAGAGCGCGACTCCAGAGCGCCGGGAGAATTAATTCTAAGGGAGTCCAAAGCGAGAGCGCGATTCTTGAATAAAACGCGAGGAAGTCTCGGGCGGGAGCGGGGGTCCTGGCTAATTTGCGAGGAAGTCTCAGGCGGGAGCCGCTGTTGTTGTAAACCAGGCGCCATCGACACAGTTTGACCGTCAAGACTTTCCCAAATAAAAAAGCAAGGTGCGAGCCCGGGGAAGGGCACTTCAATAGAAAAAACAATGTGCACTGGACGGGGGGATTAACTATACTTATTCTTCAGAAATGAGAGTTCAACAACAACAACAACAACAATCACAACAACAACAACAATAACAACAACAACAACGACAACAAACAGTTTAAGACTGTTCGCTCCTATCTGCTCACGTGCTAATCAATACGTGTATCCCAAACCCTCGGTACCCGCCCTCGTCGTCTTCGATCGTACCCCCTTGGGGGGATATCTCCCTTACCTGCCCCGTGTCTTTAGTGCAGCCTCTCAAACAAGGGAAGAGAGGACGGGCGGCAGGGGGAGGGTGACTAATGGAGCACGAGAGAAATTAGCAGGAGGGGGGCAAGGAACAGAAAACAAGTGGTATAACCAGACGGGCAGATCGGGTGGGCAGACCCATAGCGGGCAGGTTGGGAAGGCGGGCCCAGGCGACGAGGTTGAGCAGGCGGGTTGCTGAAGCGTGGGTCCTGCATGAACCGCGAGGACGTTTAGAGCGATAGCGCGATTCTTAAGTAACGCGTGAGAAAAGCCAGCGTGGGCCACGAAGGGCATCAAATCCGAGGCCACAGAGGGCAGCGACGGGGCCGCGGAGGGCAGCACCAGGCCCACGAAGGGCATGCGTATGGGGCCACGACGGGAGCGAGCGAGCGTGGGCCACGAAGGGCATTCGTTTACGGGGCCACACAGGGCGACAGCGGGGCCACTGAGGGCAACAAAGGGGCCACGAACGGCAGCGAGGGGGCCACGAAGGGCGACAGCGGGGCTACGAAGGGCATGCGTATGGGGTTGCGACGGGCGCGTGCGAGCGGGGGCAACGAAGGGCACATAATGCGGGGCCACAAAGGGCAGCCACGGAGCCACTGAGGGCAGCAACGGAGCCACGAAGGGCAGCGACCGAAGGCGACCGCGGAACCAGTACGGGCAACCAGGGGCATCGAAGGCGGGCGAATGGCAGCGAGCGGCGACTGCAGTCATTAACGGGCTGGTCGGGCGGGCAGGCCCCGACGGGCGGGTCGAGCGGGCGGGCGGGTCGTTGAAGCCGTAGTCCTGCTTGAACCGCCAGGCAGTCGTGTAGCGGGAGCGCGATTCCTGAGTGTCGAGGAGCATCTGAACCGGTTCGGTGGTACGTTGCGCGGACGTCCCAAGCGAGAAGGCGATTCTGCAGTAAGATGTCAAGAAGTATCAAGCGGGAGCCGCGATTCGGTGGTAAATCCCACCAGCCCTTTGGGCGACAGGTGGTCTAACGAGATTCCTTCTTCCAAAAAAAAACCCTTTTCCCCTACGGGGAGGGGTTTGCCCTTCCCCTTACCCCTCCCCTGGATTTTTTGGGGGGTCCGCGAGATGTCATGGCGTCCAAAACGGCCTCGGCGAGGAAGCCAAAATCACTGGTCTTACTAAGGTGTTGGCCCCATTTTGGCATCTTTGGAGGGGGGACCGAACGTTACCCCCCCCCAGCCCCCTGGGCGCCAAAATGATTGGCTTTACTGAGGTTTTGGCTCCATGTTGGCCTCTTTTGGGGGGGGCTGAACGTTATCCCACCAGCCCTCTGGGCGCCCAAATCACTTGTTTTGCTAAGGTTGGGGCCCCATTTTTTTTTGTTGGGGGGGGGGCTGAACGTTATCCCAGCTCCTCCTTTGATCGATGGCCTTCAAGATGGCCCCAAGAGGTCTTCCAGGGCTCCCAAGACGGCCCCAAGAGGGCCCCCAAACTGCCCCAAAACTGCCCCAGAGGTCTCCAAGACGCCCAAGATGGCCTCCAAGACGGCTAAGATGACCCCAAGATGCCTCCAAGACGGCCCAAGATGCACCCAAGACGGCTTGAGATGGCCTCCAGATGGCTTAAGACGGCCCAAGAAGCCCTCAAGAGGCCTCCAAGACTGCCCAAGGGGCTTCCAATAGGTCCTCCAGGAGAGCCCGAAGAGGCTATAAACATTGATTTCCCATACGTGCTTGAAAGATTTTGGCATGTGTTTCGTTTCGGCATTCCGACGGCTCAAGACGGCCCAAGAGGCCTCCAAGATCGCCCACGAGGCCTCCAAGATGGCCCCATGACGGCCCAAGAGGCCCCCAAGACGGCCCCAAGAGGGACCAAAAGGCTTCCAGGACGGCCAATATGGCCTCCACGACGGCTAAGATGGCCCCAAGATGCCTCCAAGATGGCCCAAGCTGCACCCAAAACGGAGGCCCCCAAGTGGCTTCCAAGACGGCCCAAAGGCGTCCAGGATGTCTTCCTGGAGGGCACGAAGATGCCAAAATCACTGTTGTTCCTAAGGTTTTTGTTTTTCAAAGATTTTGGCAGTTGCTTCTTCTCGGCATTCCGACGGCTCAAGACGGCGCAAGAGGCCCCCAAGATCGATCAAGAGGCTCCGAGATGGCCCAATGACGGCCCAAGAGGCCCCAAGACGGCCCCAAGAGGGCCCAACAGGCCTCCAAGACGCCCAAGATGGCCTCTAAGAACCTTTGATATGCCCCACGAGGTCCCCAAGACGACCTGGACAGGCTCCCCAAAACGGCTTTCGACGGCGCCAGACAAGCCAGGAACGCCCTAAGACGGCCAAAAAGGCCCCCAAGAAACCCCCAACGGCCCCCAACAACCTTCCAAGAGGCCCCCAGGAAGCTCCTAGGAGGCCCCAAGAGTGCCCCAAGAGGCGCCCAAGAGGCCTCCTCCTCCTCCTCCTCCTCCTCCTCCTCCTCCTCCTCCTCCTCTTCCTCCTCCTCTTTCCCTCGCCCCCACGCGGCCCCTAGGGATGGCCCGAAGAGGCCTTCCACGGCCACCCCCTTGCTCCCAGAGATCTCTCGGTTCATCCTGGTTGCTCGCTTTGTTTCCCTAGATGTGTCCTTTCGTCCTTTTTCCCGTCAGCTCTCGTGGGCAGGGCTTCTGAATAGGCTGGTGGGGATATTTTTTCGTTCGCGAGCGTCGCGGTCCAACCGTACTCGCTGGTGGGGGTACGCGAGGCGTGAAGAATTGCCCGGAACTCCCAAGCGAGAGCGCGATTCTTCAATACATTGTGAGGAAGTATCAGGCGGGAGCCGTTGTTGTTGTTGTTGTTGTTGTTGTTGTTGTTGTTGTTGTTGTTGTTGTTGTTGTTGTTGTTGTTGTTGTTGTTGTTGTTGTGGTTGTGGTTGTTGTTGTTGTTGTTGTTGTTGAATTCTCATTCTTGAAGAATAATTATTGTTGACCCCCCCACCGGTGCACATTGATTTTTTTCGATTGAAGTGCCACCCCCGGGGCTCGCACCTTGTTTTTTTTCTGAAGGAAAGTCTTCCTGCTCAAACTGTGCCCCTGCCCCCCGGGCTACAACAACAACGGCTCCCGCCTGAGACTTCCTCGATTTTTACTCAGGACCCCCGCTCCCGCCTGAGACTTCCGCGCAATTTACTCAGGAAAGGCGCTCCCGTCTGAGACTTCCTCGCAATGTAATCAAGACCCCCGCTCCCGCCTGAGACTTCCGTGCAATTTACGTGGGAACGGCGCTCCCGCTTAAGACTTCTTCGAATTTTACTCAGGACCCCCGCTCCTGCCTGACATTTCCGCGCAATTGACTCAGGAACGGCGCTCCCGCCTGAGACTTCCTCGCAATTTAGTGAGGACCCCCGCTCCCGCCTGAGACTTCCGTGCAATTTGCTCAGGAACGGCGCTCCCGCTTGAGACTTCCTCGCAACTTAGTCAGGGCCCCCGCTTCCGCCTGAGATTTCCTCACAATGTACTCAGGACTGCGCTCTCGCGTGCGACGTCCTCACAAATTATTATGGAATTGCGTTTCGGCGTTCAGGAACCACGCACGCGCCAAGGACGCCTTCACAACGTGGTATCTTCCCTCTTCATTCGTCCTTCCCCCTCCCCTTCCTCCCACTCTCCCTCGTTCTTCCCCTCCTCCTCTTGCAGGGCCCGCGCCAATTCCAATGGCGGGCAGAGAGATGTACGCCCCCGAAGGATTGTCCGCCCGTTCCAGTTTGCCCGTACGTCTAAGCTTGCCGGCCCCAGCAAAGAGAAATAATCCCCCCGAAAGGGGTGTGGTCGAAGACGAAGAGGGCGGGTATCGAGGGTGTAGGGTATACGTTGTTGAATGACTCGCGGGCAAGTAAGAGCGTACAGCCTTAAAATGGTTGTTGTTGTTGTAAACCGGGGGCTAACCACACAGTTTGAGCCTCAAGACTTCCTTTGTTTCTATATAATAAAAAGGGTGCGAGCCCCGGGAGGGGCACTTCAATTGGAAAAAATAAGGTGCACCGGGCGGGGGGGATCAATCATAATTGTTCTTAGAAGTGAGAGTTCAACAACAACCACCACCACAACAACAACAGCAACAACAACGACAACAACAGCAGGAACAACACGTAACCACAACAACAACAATGCGCCAGCCTATGGCACGGCGCTTTGGCAATGTAGAACGTCAAGGAGGCGAATAAGGGGGAGGAACACAAACACTGATCTACGACTGCGTGTTGTGCATTCATCTGTACACGGACTGGGCCCACTGTAATTGTGGGCGGGACCTTTGGGGATCGATGTTGGATCGAAACCCAGTTCTGGGGAATGGGTCGAAACCTTTGGAGATCGACTTCGTGAAACACTCATGACGTCGGGGGTCTGGAAATGCAGCGTCTGCGAATGTTCATCATGGCCGAGTTTGGCGCCTGCGCTCCCTCCCTGCCCGCCGCTCCGCTCCCTTTACCCCCCCCTGTCTCCCTCCCTCCGTCTCGTTACCCGTGCGCCCGCTTGTGCTTCGTCGATTGGCAGCCGGGCCGACCCTCGCAGTCGCGGCGGGGCGCGACCTGGAAGATCCGCGGGGACAGCACCCAGGAGAGGGTACAGAGGCTTGTCTCGAGCGGATCCTGGCAAGGGTGAGGGGCACGTCCTACCACGATCCCGAGGCGCGCGCGAGCAAGGGAGGCATTCCAGACAAGGGTCTCGCCTTCGAGGGTCAGAGGAGCCTGCGGAAGGCGGCGGAAGGTCGGCGGAAGCCCGCGGAAGTGCAACGGCGGCGGCTCCGCCGGCGGAAAGGCTTGCGGAAGCTGGCAGAAGGTTTGGGTTCAGGGTTCCCAGAACCCGCCAGGCAGGTCGGTCTTGAGCAGCCGCTTCAGCCCCGTCGGATGGGCCTCGGCGGCTCGCCGAGGGCAAGTTCCAGCTCACAGGGTTCCGTGATGGCGAAGCATTTCCAGGTCATGAGCGCGGCTGTTTCAGCCACTGCGCACTTCGTGGGCCGAGCAGCATGCTCCGCGACTGATCTTGACGCCACCATCCTGGCGTCGAAGGCGTGCCGCTTGAAAGCAGCCAGCAGGCCCGTGCCTTCCCTGCGCACCGCCCGCAGCCCTGGCTCAGGCAGCTCGTCGACCCCCCGAGCCGCAGGGCCGCGCCGCAGGGCCAGAGGCCGGCGGCGGGGACCGCGCCGGGACATGGCTACGCCATTGGCGCTGCCCCGGGCGCGCAGGAGGTCCAGCTGCAGGCCTCCCACCTCCCCAGCGGCCACGGCGCTGGTGGCCGCGGTGCTCCCGCTGCCGGCGGAGCCCGAGGCGCCTTCCGCGCCGGCGCGCTCGGCGTCGCCTTCCGTCGCCGGCGCCAGAGAACCGGCGCATTGCTTCACGCCGCCGCGGCGCCCGTGCTCGCTGCAGCCGAGGTCGGAGCCCGCTCAGCCGCGCACCGACCTGGTGGGTCGGAGGAAGAGCCTCGCCGAGCGGATCGAGGCGCGTGGCCTCAGCCCACCAGCCTGCTGGGACATCGGGCGCGAGTGCGGGCCGCCGGACCCGCCCGCGCTGGACAAGGCAGAGGGCTCTGGGCGCGTGCGCCACCAGATGCAGGCCTTCGCGGCCGCCGTGCTCCACAGGAGCACCATTAGGGAAACGAGCAATAACGCAAACATGAAGACTCGCAGGTCCGCGCGGATTTCTCGGATCCGCGCTGGACCCGCCTGGCGGCGCCTCTGGCGCCGCCCTTGACGCGCTCCGCGCGCCAGGGCGGGGGGTCCAGCGCCGATCCGAGAAATCCGTGCGGACCTCCGAGTTCTTATGTTTATGTCATGCCTCGTTCCCCTAACCATGCCGGTGCTGCAGGAGGTGTGCCGACGCAGCGGCGCGGACTGGCGCGGCACCAAGGACCATGGGCCTGTTCTCCACCAACACCACCACCAGAAGTTGGAGGAAGGGAAAGAGGTGGAGGAGGAGGACGACGACGAAGAGGAGGAGTAGGAGGAGGAGGAGGAGGAGAAGGACGACGAAGAGGAGGAGGAGGAGGAGGAGGGGGAGGAGGAGGAGAAGAGGAGAAGAGGAGGAGGAGGAGGAGGAGGACCCCCTCCCCCTCCTACTGATGGTGGTGGACGAAAGCAAGCCCACCACAGGACGCGCTGGTGCGGCGGCTGGCCTTCGGCGACGAGCGGGCCCCGCCGCCCTGGGCGGAGCCCACCCGCCGCCCCCGCGGGCCCGCGCGCCCCGCAGCCCCGGCGGCGGGCCTGCGGGCGCCATGCGGCGGCGGTTCTGGAGTTGGAGACCTCCTCTTCCTCCTCCTCCTCCTCCTCCTCCTCCTCCTCCTCCTCCTCCTCCTCCTCCTCCTCCTCCTCCCCCTCCTCCTCCTCCTCCTCCTCCTCCTCCTCCTCCTAGCCGTTTCGGCTGGAGGTGGTTGCACCCCAGTGTTGGCGCGCGCGATTCGGAGCGGCGCAGCGCGTCGGAACCGATGGCGATGGCGGCATGAAAGTGAAGCTTCCAGTGCACTTGATAGACAGGCGACTCCTCACGGAACTGAGAGACAGCCTTGGTGATTTCGAACTGATCATCGAGGACGGGCCGGCTGGACAGGATGGAGGGCAGGTGGATCCCCATGTCCAGCTGGTGTTCGAAGCCGCGGAAGGTCAAAGTCGGGGACCAGTGGCTGGTGAAGCCGCCGTCTCCGCGTCGACCGCTTAGGCCCTGGGTGAAGGCCAAAGCAAAGGCGAGACCTGTGAAGAAGCAGCTCACCGCGAAGGCCAAAGCCAAGAAGAAGGAGCTGGCCATGGGCTGGCGCCGTCGGAAGCGAGTCAAGGCCAGCACCCACAAGCACCTAGAGGGCAGCAAGAACGCGGAGCCGGTGCCGAGTGGTCAGCGTGTGCCACCTTGGGAGTGCACGCCATGCTCGGACTCGCTCAAGCGGAAGGTGGTGAACTTCGGGTTCCGCTCGAGCTGCCCTGTTTGCAAGAGGTCGGCTCCGCCGGAAACCCTCCTGAAGCAGGAGGCCCAGCGCGCAGCCGCCCAAGTGGAGAAGCGCAAGGTCATCAGCCAGAACAGGGAGGAGTTCATCAAGATGTAGGACACTCGCAGGCAGCAGGCATCGGCAGCTGCCAGTTCTTCAACCTCTCCAGCGACGACGGTGACGAGAAGCAACCGGTGGACGAGCTTCTTGACTGGCTGAAGAAGGCGAACGAGGACAAGAACAAGGATACCCACAAGCAGAAGGAGGCCAATCCTGCGCGGGAGGGGCCATTGGAATCGACCGCTCAGCTTGGTGCCAGCCTCCAGGCCCTGATCGACAAGGCCACCAAGAAGGACCAACTGACCGAACTGATCCAGTACCTCGGCCCGCTCATGAAGGCTCCCCGCTCGGCCGAGTCCATGGGCAGGTTGCAGGCGCTGCACAGCCAGGCCAGCGAGGATATCGACAAGACGGAGAAGGAGCTGGAGCAGCTGCGGAGTCTGCAGAGGCTTCGGGGTCCGAGCTGAAGATGGGCATAGGCGAGGTTCGGTACACCCGCGATGTGCTGGACTTTGCCTTCTCCATCTGGAGGCGGACCATCCACTTGCCACAGCCCAGTCGCATCGGCGGCGAGGCTGCTGGCGAAGTACTGCCACAGCCCAGTCGCATTGGCGGCAAGGCTGCTGGTGAGCTGAAGGAAGACGACGATTTTGAGTTCGCGGAGATCCCGCCCTTCCCGCTGCTGGGCAGTGCCGTCAGCCCCAGTGCGGACGACGAGGGCGCCGCGGAGATGGCGTCGCCCGCGGTCGACGCGAGTGGCTGTCCCGCTACCCATGAGGACTTCGATGCCATGGCAAGCATCTGCATCGAGGCGATTGGCAAGGACAGGTCCGAAGCCATGCGGCGCATCAAGGGCTTCAGTGAGCGCTTCGGTGTGGAGGAGGAATGGCAGTCCACCTTTGGCCGCATGTTCGAGAAGCCCCCTGACGCCTGAGGCAACTCTTCCCGTGTGGGAGGGTGGCCCTGCCTAGCGCTTCGCTCTTTTTGCATTCCCTGGGGTCTGGCTCTCCTCGTCAGCATGCAGGATTCCCTTCGTTGTCTGGGCATCGGCCCACCCAGCGTCGCGGCGTAGGTTCGCGGCGAGGCCGTAGGCGGCGGGGGGCCGAGGTCGGAGCCCGCATCATCAGAGCCCTCAGAGCCCTCCTCCTCCTCTTCCTCCTCCTCCTCCTCCTCCTCCTCCTCCTCCTCCTCCTCCTCCTCCTCCCCCTCCCCCTCCTCCTCCTCCTCCTCTTCCTCCTCCTCTTCCTTCTCCTCCTGCTCCTCCTCCTCCTCCTCATTTGTTTCTCTTCTCTTCTCCTCCTCTTGCGCCTCCATTCCTTTTCCTCATCAATGATTTCTCCCTGTCGCACCCCGAGGCCAGTTTTTAGAGCGGACCGGGCGATTCGCCTGAGACTTCCCCACCATTTCTGATTCTGAAACTTCAAAACTAGCAACAGCTTCACAGATGGAAGGCGGGTCGTTTTGGAAATGTGACTCTCGCTTCGGCGCTGCGCACATTCGTTGAATTTGCAAGGTTTTCACGGATTGAGAGCGGGTCGATTTGAACATGTGGTTCTCGCTCTGGTGCTGCGCGCATTGGTTCTAGAAATGTGCAAGAGCTGCACGGACTGAGGGTGAGCGGTTTTCAAAATGTGGATCTAGCCTTAGCGCGGCGTGCATTCGTCCTAAAAAGCTGCAAGGGTTTCATGGATCGAGGGCGGGTCGTTTTCAACATGTGGTTCTCGCCTTAGCGTGGCGCACATTTGTTTTCAACATTTGCAAGAGCTTCACGGATTGAGGGCGGCTCCTTTTCAAAATGTGATTGTCGCTTTAGCGCTGCGCTCATTCGTTTAGAAACTTTTCCAGAGTGTCACGGGTTTTCATCGTCAACGTACCAGAAATCGTACTTTGCAAGGGTTCAAGATTATATGGGTGCAACAGTTACATTGATTCTCTGTGTTGAAATCCTAGGAATGGCGTGGTTCAGGATCGTCAAGACGAAACAGTCATGTTGATCCGTGGCGTTGGACTCCCGAGAACCATGTTTTGGCATGCTTCAGGGTTTTCAAGCGGGTTTCTTCCAACGAGGCAGTTCCATCAATGGGCTGTAAGGGCTTATGAGGAGGGACTTTGGAGGGAGGGTTTACTCCAACATCGTTGTGGACTCTTGGGTTTACACTGGTCCTTCGCCTCCCCCTTCTCCTCCTCCCCTTCCTCTTCCTCCTCCTCCTCCTCCTCCTCCTCCTCCTCCTCCTCTTCCTCCTCCTCGGCATCCCCCCCGTTCCCCTCCCCCTCCCCCTCCTCCTCCTCCTCTCCTCCTCCTCCTCCTCCTCCTCCTCCTCCCCTCCTCCTCCTCCCTCCTCCTCCTCTCCTCCTCCTCCTCCTCCTCCTCCCCTCCTCCCTCCTCCCCTCCTCCTCCTCCTCCTCCCTCCTCCTCCTCCTCCTCCTCCTCCTCTCTCCTCCTCCTCCCCCTTCTCGCTGCGGGCCGTCAGGCCCACAAAGGCGGCTGCTCATTGAACGCCCAACCACCTGGGGACTTCCACCCCTCAAGGAAGCGTAGAGTCTCAGAGTCCTCATCCTCCCCTCCTCCCTCTTCCTCCTCCTCTCCTCCTTCCCTCCTCCTCCTCATCCTCCTCCTCCTCCTCCTCCTCTTCCTCCTCCTCCTCCTCCTCCTCCTCCTCCCCTCCCCCTCCTCCACAGATACCACAATGAATCGGCGCCACCCCAGGAGAAGATGCGACACTGTGGCAAGTGGGTGGGGGGTAGACGAAAACCTAGAAAGTATATCGGAAAATCTAGGGGGAGTCCTGGGACCTGTGCCGATCTAGTTGTGCGTGTCCCTGGGCCCCTCTTGAGGTGGCCAGCCGAGCGGCCCGCCGGCCCCGCGGCCGCGCGGCGTGCGGCGCCCCCGGGAGCCCAGCCCCCCGCGGGCGCCGCCGCGCCGGCGGCTCCGCGCGAAGACCCCCGCGGGGGCCGCGTGAGCGCAGCGGCGCCCTGCGCAGCTCGGCGAGGCTGCGGGCGAGGCTGGCGGGGGGCTCCCGTGCCTCTAGCCTATGCCTCTGTCTGTCCCTCTCTCTCTCTCTCTCTTCAGACTCCTTAGGCAACTGAGGAGGGGACGCTCGGCTGTGGTGGCGGGTAGGCCGCAGGAGCCACCGTCAGTTTCCGGCCGCGGCCCGTCGCTGGCCCCCCACTGGGCGCTGGCACACTCGAGGCGTGTGCAGCACGCCCCTCCCCGAACGGCCCGCCCGGGCTGCGATCTGACCTCGCCAGCCTGGCATCGCTCGGACATGTGCATTTGTTTCTCGGCGAGGACTCTGGAGGAGCATCCTGGATCATCGAGCAAGCAACAAAAACACGCACGAAACCGAAAAATGCACGGGGAATGGACGTCCGAGCGACGGCAAGTCTAGGCCTCCCAGATGGGGCCGCAGTGGATGGGGTCGGAGGATCGCGCCGCATCGCCAATGCATTTGTGATGCCTCGACGGTGCGGCTCGATGTGGGGCCCGATTTTCTCCGCGCCCACGTCGCCGACGCATCGCCGGCGTCGCCAGTGCATCGCCGACGTATCGGCGATGCGGCGAGCTCCTCCGACCCCATCTAGTCGGACCCCATCCAGGAGGCCTCTAAGTGCGTCGGGCCCTCGGAGCAGGTGAGCGGCCGTGCACTCCGTTGCAAGAGAGTCTCAGGGGAGGGACAGAGTCCTGGCACAGTGGAGCTCAAGCGGTCGCGAAGCGTCTTGGTTCGCCTACAAGCCCGCCAGGGAATGTTCCAATAACCTTTTGCCTGGCATCGCTCGGACGTGTGCGTTTTTTCCTCGGCGAGGGCCATCGAGGAGCATCCTTGATCATTTGGCGAAAATGCCACGCACGAAACAGGGAAAAACACAGGGAATGGACGTCCGAGCGATGGCGAGTTTGTGGTCTGCACGAAATGTGATTAGAACGCGTACTGCTGACATTGTTTTGTTTCAATACATCGGGTTCATGTTCTAAGAGCATGTCTCTTGTTTGCAGAACGTTGCTGGATTCTAAGAACATGTCGTGACAGGCCTACAGGAATGCTGGGACGGTCGGTCCCTGATCAAGGAAACCCATGCCAAGGAACACCTTGCTTGCCCCCAGGGTGCCCTGGGCCTCTTGGACTTCGATGGCCCTGCTGCGCAGAGCGCGACGCTCCCGCACCACACATCTCAGTGGACGCCCCTGGGGGTCTCAGGCTTGGGTGCCCTGTGGAGGGCTCCTCGTGCCCGGGCCTCCGACTGTGCCGATGCCGCGCGCCCTCTGGCCGCCTGAGGCCCCGCCCGCCCCGCCCCCGCCCGCCCGGCCCAACTAGTGCTTTGCGCGGCCCGCCTAGCTCTTAACCGGAAGAGGCTCGCTCTCGACCCGCCGACCAAAACTGTGCCGCTGCCGCTGCTCGTCCCATGGGGGCTCCTTGCCGCCACGGCCGGGGAGCCTCCTCGCAGCGGCTTCAAGCAGTGGCGAAGCGCCCCGGCTCGCCTATAGCCCCACCAAACAATGTTCTAAGAACCTTCTGTGGTTCCCACGAAATGTTCTTAGCGCATTCCTGGCTGGGACTGTCTCGTTTTAGCACATCGGGTCTATGTTCTAAGAACCTTGTTCTTGTTATTAGAAAAAGTCTGGGTTCTGAGAACATTCCGTGGTATGACTATAGGAATGCCGGCACGGTCGGTCCCCGCTCAACGGCTGTGAGCCAACGCGCCCCGGGAGAGGCCCGCGGGGCGTGGCGGCACCGGCGCCCTCCCGCCTCCCAAGGGTCGGCCCGTGGGCGCGCTCCCGCTTCCTCGGCCCCCATAGGGCGCGAGAGGGCACGCATCGGCGAAGAAGCCACGGCATGAACAGACACGTTCTCCATGCCTAACTCGGGCTGGACGAAAGGGGGGGATTGGGAAAGGGGGGGGTACGAAATTTGCTGCATGCAGCTGGTTTCGGCCCCACCGAAGGGCCCATTCCTCGATACATGGTCGCCTCCGGCGCCAGGAGGCGCCAGGAAAATCAGCTACGTGAGCTGATTCTCAACCCCCCCCTTTGCTATCCCCCCCTTTTGCCCGACCCGACTAACGCTTCGAAGGCTCTTTGATTTTGGGGGGGCCGAGATCCTGTCATGTCTGATCCTTCGGTCCTGGGCCTCCTCCTGGCCACCAGGGGGCCAGGAGCAATCAGAAGCGAGCACGATTCGAAATGAGCACGGTTAGACATGAACGACGTGTAAAGTTTTGGCGCTCCGCGCGGATTTCTTGGGTCCGCGCTTGGCCCCCCCCGGCGGCGCCTTTGGTGCCGCCCCTGGCGCGCTCCGCGCGCTGGGGAGGGGGGTCAGCGCGGATCCAAGAAATCCGCGCGGAGCGCCAAAGAGTTCAGGTTTAGTCGGAGGCCCTTGATAATCGACCCCTCCCCCTAAAAACGCGGACCCCCCCTTTCAATGTCAACCTTATTCTTTGGACCCCCATTGTCAACCTTACTATCCTGCACCCCCCTCGTCTTCGGTTTGCAGAAACCTCCCTCATACACGAGAACCCGTCGCTTCCAGAAAAGACACCTTTACAAAACCAGACCCGGGCGACGATTGTTGGGGGACTTCGAGTATGGTTTTTTTTTTTCTTCTGGAGATGGTATTCCCAAGCATTCTCTGTGGGTGGAGGGCAAAGGGTCAAATCTGAAATGCCGTTTCGATTGAGTTTCGAGGTTTGAATCTGCACAAGTCAGGAGGGGAAGAAACACACAGACACAATTATTCGTCGATTCCCAGAAAATATGGGAAACTATGGGAAGTGGGTGGGAAGATAGAAACCCAGACAATATGGGAGATATGGGGAATCCTTTTATTTGTGTGTATTTATTTGTGTGTCCTGGGGCCCCTTCAACAAGGTGGATCACAAGACGGATTGATCTTTCGAGGTGCGAACGCCCATGTGGATGTCACCCTGAGCCCT